GGGGTCACCAAAACATGAGGAACTGTATGAAAGGGTTGCATCATTAAGAAGGTTGAGAAACCACTATGGTTTAGAATCTAAACCATAGCCTCCATTTGGTCAAATATGTTTTAGAATTTAATAAAACCTAAATTATAGGATTGTAAGGATTCAATCTCATGATACGATTTTTTAATTACATGATCCAGTTCCCATACATAATAGGTATCAAACACATGGTATCTGGAGGTAAGATTGAATTATCATGTATGGGTCATCAAGGAAGAATAATGTGTTCATGACTTTAGTCTGTAAATTCCAAGCAGACTATCCATCTGCTAGCTGGGTTGCATTGGGGCAATCACTTAATTTCTCAATGTATCTGTTTCCTCGCCTGAAAAACTGGGATAAGAATATATTTTCATACAGTTCCTATGATGATTAAATTAGTTAAATGCATTTGATTACTTGTCAGCAGAATGCTTGGGACATACATAGTAAGCCCCAGAAAATATAACGTACCTGTATGACCAATTGTGTACCCTCAATCATGTCTACATCAAATGAGTTAAATCAGAGTTCTAAGAACTGACTGATATGAGAAATGACACAGTCTCCTTTATTTTCCTAGGAAATTTCTGATCCCATAAGTAGAGGAAAACATGCAGCCAAGCTGGATGCTAACAACAGTTAGAGAGTGATTCCAAGAAGAAAAGTCTAAGAGTATATTTCTCCAATACATACCAACCGCTACAAACCAATAAGGAAAACCCAGCAGTTACACGCAAAAAAAAAAAGGGCAAGAATGCAGTTAGAAAATTCGAGGTGGGGGGTGTGGAAAGAAAGTGGTGTTAACAATCCAGGACAAGGGAACAACAAGTGATCTAAATCGGTGGTGAGGAGGGTATAGGCCTGGTAGGGCATGACCAAGGGTAATGTAACAGAGAGGAATTACTGAAACCCAAATGAAGGCTGAGCAAGATAGTGGGACAAGAGGAAAGTAAAAGGAAATAGAGAAAAGAGCTAGGAGGCAAAGGGCATTTATAGAGGTCTAAATAAAGGCATGTACATATGTAAATATATTTATATATGAGCATGGGAAAATAGATCTATGTGCACATATTTATAGGTTTAGTATTAAGGTAGCAGATGGACATTGGGCCTCCACTCAAGTGCTCCCTCAATACAAGAATACTTTGTTTTATTAAAGTGGCATTTCATGATGCTCACCTTCCCGACACGATCGCTGAAGACAAAGCAGGTGTGTAAGCAAATGTGATAAAGAAAGCTGATGGTGCCCGGCTACCAAAAGATATAGCATCTGGGGTCTTAAAGGCTTGGAGGTAAACAAGAGGCCATCTAGGTCAGAAGCAACAAAGCCCACATGGAAGAAGCACACCAGCCTGTGTGATCACGAGGTATCAAAGGGATCAGGTATCAGGCATCAAAGAACAAAAAAATCATATCATTGTGAATGAGGGGGAGGGAGTGCAGAGTGGGGACCCAAGACCCATCTGTAGGCAACAGGACATCTCCTTACAGAAGGGTTGGGGGGAGGAGATGAGCCAGTCAGTTGCAGTGTAGCAACGAAGAAACATACAACTTTCCTCTAGTTCCTAAATGCTTCCTTCCCCCCACCCCCTACCCCCACACACTATTATGATCCCAGTTCCACCTTACAAGTCTGGCTAGATCAGAGGATGTACACTGGTACAGATAGGAACTGGAAACACAGGGAGTCCAGGACAGATGATCCCTTCAGGACCAGTGCTGAGAGCGGTGATACTGGGAGGGTGGAGGGAGGGTGGGGTGGAAAGAGTGAACCAATTACAAGGATGTAGATTGAAAAACAGTAAAAAGTTTGCAAATGGTGCTGCTTCAGCTGGGTGGAAAAGGGCACTTTCACATGCTCTTGGAGCGTCTATAAATTGGGACAAACATTTTGGAGACCATTTGGAGGCACCAATTGAAGTTTAAAATGCATATATACTTTCATGTAGCATATCTGTTTCTAGAGAAGTATACTCTATGTGTTAAAGTATGCCTGTAATAGAATATTCACAACAGCATTATTTTTGCTAGAGTAAAAATGTATGTATGTAAGTTACATGCATAATGTGTATTGCGGTGCACCTGATATGCTATGCAAGCTTTAAAATTAATGAGGTCGGTCAGATGGTACCATAGGAGGTCCATGATATACGTACTGTTAGGAATAACAAAGCAAGCTCTATTACTAAGAAAAGCAAAACAAGCTCCAGGAAAATGTGAACTATGGTCCCATTCTTGCAAAGACAAAATACATGCTCAGATGGGCATCCAAAAACATTTAAAGGAGTACAAGTCAGAGTATTACCAATGGTTATCCATGGAGCGGAATGGGGAAGGTGGGAAATGAATCTCGCTTTTTGCATCATACATATTTTACTGCTATTCTAAAAAGAATAAATGTGAATTACTTAAAAATGAAAATAAAATAGGAGGTTACATCTCCAAAAATGCTGGGCAGAGAGACATGCTGCAGCTGCCGTAATCATATCTGGGTTCCTTTGGGCCTCTTCCTCGGAGTCAAACCTCAGAACACAAGTTAGCCATTGTCCAGCCTGATTCCCCCAAGTCCTGGCCCTGTTGTGCAGGACTGGGGCCAGCCACGCTGCCGAGCCAATCACTAATGCTGACATTGGAAGCGCCTGCCTCATGGGCTCCACTCCCGGGAGAAGGCAACTTGTGTGGACAATAGCACACTTGGGACTCCATGCTAAGGAAAACCACGGAACACATGCAGAAACATGGGACAAAACCTCAGCTTTGAGTGTCTTCCCAGTCCAGCCTTCTGTCCCTGACAAGCAGAAACACCACCAGGAGTCTGGCTGCTCTACCCACATTAACGTTTTCCTCATGTGTTTCATTCTTCTGTCCTGGGCCCCCTCTTCTGTCTTCTCTGAGTGGATTGCTCAGTGTTGCTTTAAAAATAATACAGGATAGAGTGTGCTGTCCGAGTGTGGATGCAAAGACGAAGCTCAACCCATTCTTGTCTAACTGGGAGTCCACAGTAAGGTACGTACCTTCACTTAGAGGGCTGCATGTCTACATTACAGCTAGGCTATCCCTAGACAATCTTCATACACGCTCTCAGCAGTTTCTGGAGAGAGGGCTGTCTTTCTCAAATTTGTACTACCTTGTCAGGTGCTTCTTTCTCATCATCCTCTTTCCTATGCCACCCTCAGTTACGTTGTGTCTCCATGGACTCTTTCCCTCCCTTTATTCAAATCCACAAACAAGCAGGGATTTACTGACATGTTGTTGTTAGGTACTGTTAGGACACTTTGGAATGAGAGAAAACTCCAGTCAGAGAAGTTTAGGAAACACATTGTGAGTGTTTACAAATAAGTAGCATGCAATAGGGAACACAAGTTCCTACAGGAATTTAGGAGAATTGCTTAATGTTGTATAGAACTTTTTCAAAGGACTTTTAAAAACAAGGTCTCGTCTGCTTTTTGGAGAACGTCTGTATTGAAGGTAGGTATGATTCTTCCTTCCCATTTCCCAGATGAAAACAGCAAGGACCCTGCAAGGTGAAATGAGTGCTCAGCGTCAGAGAGAAAAGTCTCATGGCAGATGTGGGGCCATGATCCAGTTCCTCCCACTCACACACA